TTTGTCTTCGAAGAGTTTTTTCCTGCTCTTTTTAATGGTGTAAATTTTGTTTAAACTTTGGAGAACATTCCAATTTTTTCAATTATCATTAATAATTGTGGAAAAAGTATTCAAGTGTCGAAAAAATATTATAAAAAAATTGAAAAGAAAAAATAATTTAAAAATAATGGTTTTGATAAATAAATTGTAATTTTTGTAATTTGTAATATTTTTGGCTTATATTTTATATTTGTATTCTTGAATAGTGATACTATGAGAAAAAATAACCCTATATAGTTTAATTTAAAAAAAGTATTTATTGTTTACCTCAATTCGATTTCCAAGACATTTAGAAGCCAAAAAACTAGTTCAATGTAGTTGGTAAGTATCAGAACGTGTAGTCAGTACCTGTAACTTTTAACAGATGGCGTTAGACTCGCTAAATTTAAAAATGTTAAAGAATATACTAAGCAAAAGTTGAGGTTAAGGTTCACAGACCCCCAGTGTGCTCTGAGGGTTAAATTCAAATTTTGACCCTTCTACAAAATCTTAAGCAGCATGCTATAGCAGATTGTACCATAGTATCTACCTTAAAGTTTTTGAGGTCACTGATTTCAAATTTGAAGTCACATTACCAAATTTTAAAATAGAGGAAACATTTTTTAAAATTCATCGGATTTGCTTGAAACTCGGGGATTTTCAAGGTCGCTAGTTACTAATTTTAAGTCAAACTTTTAAAATTACAAATGGCGGATCCAATATGGTGGATGAATTTTTTTTAAAATTATGTTTTAGTGAAACTTGATAATTACAGTTTTTTTAAGCCAGTGATTGTGAATATTGCTTCAAATTCGTAATTAGCGACTCCGAAAAATCCTTGAGTAACGAATCTCAAGCAATTTTAAAAAATTCATTCTTCATATTGGATCCGTAATTTTTAATTTTGTAAATCTGACTGCAAATTCGTGTTTAGTCTTTTTTATTTTTATTGAGCAATGGGAATAGTTAGACTAGAACTAGTAATTTCTAGTTTTAAGTTACATGACGCATTTATAAACTCTCAGATCGAGGATTAATAATACATTTTAGTATTTATTATATTTATTTTATAAGTTTCTCACCACACATCGATTCTGAGAAGCAAATGAGATTGTTTTTGCATCGATCTATAAAATTAATCATTTCGGTCTTTGGTATTTATAGAAAAAATCTGGACTTATTTATGTTTCAGTTCAAAATGAGCCAATGCTAAACGACATATAGAACGTGGTGCTACCTACCTAACTCATTTTTGTTTCACTATTCAAAATAAGTAGAGTATCCTGCAATTTTTTAGCTCAGATTTTAGTATTTTATTTTACATTTTATTCTACAGATTTATATTGCAAAGGAATTTCGAACTGTAATGACAAAATTTAAATATATTACTATTTGCGACGCAGTGCAGGAGGGTCAGTTGTAATTCCTGAAAAACCAGAAGGTTTCCAATATGTAACATCGGTAAATTCCCATTTGAAAGAGAGTGAATAGTCCAGTTTGGGCCAAAGTTAGCATCTGCCCTTTCGGGCCAGTAATATGCGTGTTTGATATCACATCTATGATCTCAGATGCGTATACAAGATATCACGCACTCCTGCACGCGTGCAGCCGTACAGGAATCCTAGGGAACATTTTCACTAAAAACCTATAACTAAAAGTAACTTACATATAAAGTAAAACCTTATGTTACACGCTTCCAAGCGCAATGAATAGATAATAAAGACGTTTTCACTGATTAAATACTAATCTAAAAAATCATCAAACTTTAGCGTTTTCAGAAAAAAATGTAACTCCTATAGAAACATATTTTTCTCCCGGAGTAAATTGAGTCGTTTCCTATTTTATATAGAAATTTATGATAACACGGTGCAACAAATTTTATATTTCTTAGATCGCGTAGATTGATTCTAATTAACATATTAACTTTCTTTAGGAATTAATTTAAATTCCACAAAATTTATCCTTAACTTCAATTTTCTTTTGTACTTATAGAGCCTAATATGAAGTATTTTTGTTTAATTGGTTTTGTATAAACAATTCTAATGCCAATCAATTGTTAATAAAAAATCGACTTAACAATAATATTTTACATTAGGCTCATTGAATGCGAAATTGCGTTAATTTTTGTGATATCTTTTGATGACTCACCTCTTTTTTGTTTAATAAACCTTGGACCAAATATGGGCGGTAGATTCACTATACATTCATATTGACGCCATAATCTGGATTTCGATCCAATCTCCTGTATAGACTTGGTGATGTGAGGGTTGTTTTTGGATGGAAGAATACCTGGAGATATTCAAGGAGTTGTCGAACATCGACACTATTTAATAACCGTCACATTGGCACAGGGGGTCAATTACGTAATTTTTTCCGGATTCCACATTCCAGACCCTACATTTCACATATATTCCGGATTCCACATTTCGGATACCATATTCCGGATTCTACATTCAAAATTCCGTATTTCTGATTCCACATTCCGGTTTCCACTTTCAAAATTCCGGATTCCACATTCTGTATTCTACTTTTAAAATTCAGGATTCCATATTCTCATATAAACATTCCGGATTACACTTTTTATATTTCGTATTCCGCATTCCATATTCCGGATTCCACTTTCCACATTCCCGATCCAACATTGCGGATTCCGTTTTCGACATTCTGTATTTCACTTTCAGAATGTGAGATGTGGAATCTGAAATATGGAATTTTAAAAGTGGGATCTGGGATGTGGAATTCGAAATGCGGTATGTGAAAAGATAGAGTCCGGAATGTGGAATCTGGTATACGGAGTTTGAAAAGTGGAATACGGAATGTGGAATCTGAAATATGGAATTCTGAAAGTGGGATCCGAAAAAAGTTACGTAATTGACCCCTAGGAAAGGGGTTGTCGAAGAGATTATCTTCGAAGAGATATTTTTCGAAGGCGACCAGCTGGACAATGCTGGAGATGTATTTGGGCATTTATTACGCAAGATTTTATAATAATAAATCCTCCTTATATTATTGTATGAAACCGCCATTCGTTGCTTATATCCTGCTAAGACAATTCTAACCATCAGTAGTGGAGATATTTTTCATTAGATTGAATATAGTAACGATAGGGGGGAAATGTTTTACCTCCCTATCATTGATACGGAGGAGGGACCACAGCATGTAGATGATTTGTTGGCTGCTTCTCTTCATCTAATTCGAGAAATTCCCATGGTCGAAGGAAATGGCTCAGTCGATTAAAAATTTTTTTTTGTTTAATTAAATTTATTTTTACTTTTATTACTTTTTTTGATAATCTTCTTTAATTCCATTAAAACAATATTTCTTTTATATATATACTATACAAAATTGGTTAGAAATATTTTATGTTTTATTGTGACGCAATTACTTTCACAATACAGAATAATATATTACGATGCAAAATAATTGCGCTCGTTTTATCTGATGTTAGGTTTTAGGATGTTAAAGAGTCCTCCTGAAGGTTTACGAATTTCAGCGACTCGCATTCAGTTATCTTGAGGTTCATCGAACGCACTCGAGTATACACTTCCTTTATCCTTTAGACCCCCTACTTATTTACCTACATTCACATTCACCACCCTTAAGATTACTGGTTCTCCTTCGAGGCGCAAGCGTCGTTTAGCCTAATTTAAATACAGAATTAATTGTCCGGCACCCACCAGTGTGCGTACCTATATATTATCCACATCTTCATGTAAACTGCCATATATTTTCAAAACAGTCGCCTTCTTCATTTTTTGTAAAAATTTGTTTATTAATATTTACCATATGCATTTACATTTACATACATTAAATTTTAAATCAACACCACATGACAAATGAACGAAATTTTTTCAGAGTGACGTTTACCTTGATTTGAAGTGCATAGAGTCAAAAAAATTAAAATTCTATATTGGAAAGTTTAATTAAATTAAAAATAATGTATCTTTATTTGTCTAAAATATAGTGGGACATTCCACGTCAACACGGACAAAAATTGCTTATATGAATTTAAACGTTCTAGCGCTTAAAATATATTTCTACATTCATGTACTTTAAGATGCCGATGGTCGTTTTTCAAAAATTTTTATTTTTGATGCCAATAGAGCTGTCAAAAATCAAAAAGTCGAAAAATACCAAAATACTTTTATAAATTAAAAACTAAAAACGAGGTAAATAATTTTGAAACTCATTCTTTAACAGCTTTTAGGGTCGCTGATTATGAATCTTAAGTTTTTTTTCAAAAATTCAAAATGTCGGATCCAATATGTCGGACAAAATTTTTTAAAATTCATCCGATTCGGTTAAAACTTGTTACTCGGGGGTTTTTGGGGTCGTTGACAACGAATCTGATGTCAGTTTTTAGAAATTCAAAATGTCGGAAGACCATTTTTAAAATTTATCAGATTCGGTTAAAACATGTTATACAGAATTTTTTGTGGTCACTGACAACAAATCTGATGTCAGTTTTCAAAAATTCTAAATGTCGGATCCAATAAGGCCGCTAAACATTTTGAAAAATTCGAGAAATTAACGGATTTTTATAAAATTTTGTTTTTTGTTTTTCCGAGTCGTTGACTACAAATTTGAAGTCGGATTTAGAAAATTTTAGACTTAATCTATTTGCTAAAAATTTAAAACAAAATTAAATTACGTATTGTTTGACAAAAATGAATACACAATTCGGGGACGTAAAGGTGGATATTGAAGCAATCGAAACCTATTTTAAATAATCAGGAAGTAAAAAAAATAATTATTATTTTTTAGGATTCTATTAGCTATTTTTACTAGAAGAGTCACACACTTAGTCCATACTTCCCTGTACTTTTTTACAGTAAAGTATTGAACCATTTAATTAGATCTTTAATTTTAGTTAGGTTAGTTTATGAAAATAATATTATTATTCTCATATTATAAAAAATAATAATAATAGTAATTGTAGGAACTTAATTCGTTTATTGTTTCCATTAATAATATGCTAATTGTAAATGGAAAAGAAACTCCAAATGTGTGTGAAAGTGCAAAATTGCAGGACTATTATAATAAGGCTTGTGTTTTTGAAGGTGCACGGGTTTGTATAAATCGATGTAAGTGTATGTGTGTGGGAGCGTCTGCCTGTGAGAATTGGGCTGATGATTATGCCACAAGGTGCACGCCTCACTTCCGCCAACCAGAAGAAGCACGCGGCTTTGCTATATAATCTGTCTCCCTTTTTACTTTGGTCACCAACACTCTTCCTCACTTGGCTTTAACGGCTTCATTTTTTATGTCATCCTGTGTCGAGGCCTCGTGTTCTACAACCGTTACAACCGCTGATGTCGATTTTGATGATGAAAACAAGATTACAATCTTATCACAGTGAGACATTATATAATATACATATATATATATATTGATTATTTTATTTAAATTTTTAATAAATTGTTTAACTACATATATAATAGATTACATATTATGTGTCTTTATAAAATTTTCAAACAAAATACGAATTAGCAATTTTTTCTTCAATGTAACCTATAAATTAAACGCAAACGATATTAATTTATTGAGTAATCAATTACCTTAATTTAGGAATCGCTGGATCACGAAAATTTTAAGGAATTGCGACAAAGTCTAAAGATAATGGAAAGCTATATAATTTTATTATCGTGCAATTAAATCAATTCGACGAAACACGAACATGGATAGAAACGAGTACTGATGTACTTACATACCTAGGTTATGTATAGTTAAGAATTTACTATAAGAACTGCTAAAAAGTAAAATTTAATTATTTCAACTCGTAGGTTTTTACTTTCCGTGTCACATATATAAACTAAAAATTTAGAAAGAAAATGTAACGAAAATTTTTGAATAGACAAATTTGATGTCAAATATGATACAGTCAATTGTTTCTATTTTCTATAAAATATTTTATTAAAAATTATTACTATTCAGAGTTATAAATTTCGAAAAATCAATTTTCAGGAAAAGACTTTGTAAAAAATTAATTCGAAAACTAAGCCTTCGGTAAAATAAATATATATTCGGAATAAAATTGTACTCTATTATTTTTTAAAAGTTGTTTAACAAATTTACGTTCCTGACACTAAATATCCTGAATAAAATATAAATAATTCGCAACTCGTATTTAATGTGGGAAGACTGTGTAATATATCTATAATGTTGCGGCATGCCCATATCGAAAAATCTCGTTTCGGAATGCATGGAATGAAAGAGTCGCGATTTAAGTTCTTTTTATAAGACGCAGAAAAAAATGTATTCGAATCCGTCCTAACTCACTCTAAGAAATGCTTCTGACCCAAAGTGCTTTCGAGCAGAGTGTGAAAATAATCGTTGTTTCTTCGATCGAAAAGAAGGCTCCCAACACGTTGTCGAAATATTCATCTGCATTCTGTGCATGTATTTCAACGTGTCTGACTCCACACTACCAACTCTACTATTCTCTCTCTCTCTCTCTCTCTCGATGAATCTTCATCTCTTCGCATCCCTTTGATTCCAATCGAAACTGGAAGAAATCTGATGGAGTCATCCAAGAACGATGGAATTTTACGCACGCTTAAAGTATGCCCTGAAAGATCTGGAAAAAACGATAAGCGAATTTGTAAATTGATTAGGTTATTATTAGGTTATTTTTCACAAAACAAGAATTTTTATTTATTAACAACTATTACCTTTTTATACTTTTTCGCGAAAAATTAACTGTGATTACAAGTAATCAATTTTTTGAATATATAAATACTATTACGTAATTACAAAGATTGTTTAACAGACTTATTAGACAGACTCATCATTTGTTACAATTATATTAATATTATGAAAATAGTTTTCTTAATATATACATAGTTAAATTATTATTATTAAATCCACATAGCACGACTTCTTGCTGTGAGGTTATTGTAAGGATATCTGTAGGGTTTTTTTAAGGTAACCGTGTAAGCCTACAGTAAACTAGAAGTCATCTTAAAACTTCCGCCATTACAGTAAGCTTACACAATAAAGCTAAGGTAAGCTTACACAGTAAGGTCGTGGTGAGTTTTCAAGGTAAGGTTGTGGTAAGCTTACACGGTAAGGTTGTTGTAAGCTTCCCGTAAGATTACTGTAAGGTTGCTGTAAGGTTACTGTAAACATACACGGAAAAAATTTCGAGACGTCAGACGTGCCAATGTCAATGTAAACCTGCAGTACATTCATCTGTGCCACTTTTGCGTATCTGCCTTACCTTATGTACAGCGTTTGTGCCAAAACGGTACGGCAGACGTACATAATGAAATGTACTGTAGGTTTACATTGACATCGGCACGTCTGATGTCTCGAAATTTTTCCCGTGTAGAGTAATATGAAAATATATTAAAAAAATTATATTATAAATTTTTTTATAAAAAATTATATATTTAGTAAAGTACTTCAAGAACACCAATAGGATTTGTTAAATAAAAGAGCCTCGGCAAGCCCCATGCAAAAAATGCCCCTTTTTCGTACCTCGAATTTTGAAACTTTTTTTATGCCAAATGGTTACATATGATGACCCAATAATCCCTGCAAAATTTCAAGATGAGCATGTTCCCCCTTTCCGAAATACAGGGGGTCAAAGGGGGCCATGTCCCCAAAACCAATTGGTTCCCTTAAGATTTTCGTCTGCTGATTACGAATCTGAAGTCCGTTTTTAAAAATTCAAAATGGCGGATCCAATATGGCGGACGACATTTTTAAAAATCGATCCAATTGACTTAAAATTCGTTAATCGGGTGTTTTTGGGGTCACTGATTACGAATATGATGTCTGTTTTTAAAAATTCAAAATGTCGGATCTAATAAAACGAATAAAGGCAAGATTTAAGGCTAAATTCAGCTTGCAAAGGCCAGATGTAATAATTACAAAACCATCTAAAGTAAGATGTAATATTCCAATCAACAAAGATAAGAAGTAGTATCCCAACCAATGAAGGCAAGATGTAATCGACAACCCGGTCAGCAAAGATAAGAGATAATAATCCAACCAACAAAGGTAAGATGAAGTTATCCAACCAATGAAGGCAAGATGTAATCGACCACACGATCAACAAAGATAAGGGATTAGAATCCAACCAACAAAGATGAGATGAAGTTATCTAACCAATGATTTTTTTTAAGTCAATTGGATCGATTTTAAAAAATGTCGTCCGCCATTTTGGATCCGCCATTTTGAATTTTTAAAAACGGACATCATATTCGTAATCAGAGACCCCAAGAACTCCCGAGTAACGATTTTCACGTCAATTGGATCGATGTTTAAAAATGTCGTCCGCCATATTGGATTCGCCATTTTGAATTTTTAAAAACGGGCTTTAGATTCGTAATCAGCAGACGAAAATCTTAAGGGAACCATTTGGTCTGATTTTTTTTAACATTATTATTCGATTATATTGCATATTCTAATTTTGGACATGGCCTCCTTTGACCCCCTGTATTTCGGAAAGGGGGCACATGCTCATCTTGAAATTTTGCAGGGATTATTGGGTCATCATATGTAACCATTTTGGCATAAAAAAGTTTCAAAATTTGAGGTACGAAAAAGGGGCACTTTTTGCCAAGGCTCTTTATTTATTAATAACATTCTATGTTTACAGTAACCTTACAAGAAGCTTACAACAATCTTACCATGTAAACTTACCACGACCTTACTGTGTAAGCTTACCTTAGCTTTACTGTGTAAGCTTACTGTAATGGCGGAAGTTTTAAGATGACCTCTACTTTACTGCAGGCTTACACAGTAACCTTACAAACCCTAAAGATATTCTTACAGTGACCTCACAGCAAGAAGCCGTGCTATGTGGGGGGTCGATTATGTAAATCTATTTCCACATCACTTTCCACTATTTTCAATTTCCATTCCCCCTTCTATTGTCCTTTGCGAAATCTCAATGCATAAAGACATGTTTAATAAATGCTTAGAATTATCTTATGTAAACCAAGACTTTTATTTCTCACCCTAAGAAAAAGTGATTCCCTATTTTTCCAATAATTATTAGGGAAGGCAAATTTAAACGATTAATGAATTTTGCCTGCAACGTATAAACACTTCCACTTTTTCTTAGTTCCATTTTCATTACCACATCCACCTTTCCTAATTTCCATTTCCACTTTTTAAATTTTTACTCCCATTTCTACTTCAACTTCTACTTTTTCCTCTTTTCATCACACTTTCATTTTTTCCAGTTTCCACACCAACTTCCATTTCTACTTTGACTTTTTGTAATTTTCACTTTTTCTTCCACCTTTTCGAATTTTGTTTCTGGTTGAATATATTAAATGGAGCGCAAGAATTTTCCATAAAAATCATTAATTAAATTATTTATTTTAAAGAATTTTATTAGATTTAATTATTTTTTAGACGAACACGGAGAAAAAAGAATTGTTGTGGTTACTAAAAATTAAGTCCACACAACAATTCCGGATTGTCAATATAGAACCAGCAGTTCCATTTGTTTTTGGGACAAAAAAAATTGTTAAAATGGGATTGTTATTAAAACTATTTAGATTGTTCGGTGAAGAAACAGAATTGTTTAGTAAACAAAGAAAATTATTATGGAACAGTTGAAATAACAAAACTAAATTGTTAAATCGGCAATACAATTTGTTGTATTAACAAAGCTTTGATCCGTCTAATAAAATTTGTTCAGTCTCTTCGCCTTCTAAAATAATCGATAGCAGGATTTCCGTAGGTTATATCATCAGTTTCATTTGCATTAAAATCTGTGGAACATGCAGCTTCTGAATCAAATTCTTTGACCTGAAACCAAAAAATTATTTTGAGTTGAAATTTGTTGTTAAATAATATTTAATATACATATTGTATTTTTTAAAGTGAGGTTATGTTCAATAGTACCCGAGTATAACTTACCGATAAACGATGAAATTGTCTCTTTAACTATTCACTACACTTGCAATAGATTTTTTACTTTAACCGGATTGATTATTTAACAGCACTTTGTCATTTAAAAAAAGCTACTAATAAAAGCAAAAATGGCACATGTGCCAGAAGAAAACGACGCGACGATCTGCACGTCAGTTTGTGAGAATTCAAGATGAGCATATGACATGGAACAATAAACCTGTCAGCTGAACAAATCCGGATTGTTCCATCACCCATCGAGAGCAACTTTGCTTCTGCAACTGTACGCGATTGCAAACTGAACAAAACTGACAACAAAAAAAGTCGTATTGTTGTTAAAATAACATACATTTGTATTGACAACAATCCGAATTGTAATATTAACATTTCGAATTGTAATATCGACAAATCTACTGACAACAATCCAAAAATTGTTTGCACCACAATCCCATTTTTCTCCATGAAGTTTCATTTTTCGAAATAGCATTTGACTTTTTTTAAACCAATTTTTACTAAATATCATTTTTAGGCGCACCGAATTTCTGTTGGACAGAATTTTTATTTTAATGAATTTTTTTTTATTTTAAAGACTGCTCGACTTCGCACTTGCTTTGTCTTGTTCAAAAACATTGTACTCGTCAATAAATTCGGTGTTCCCACCCTTAGTGCATAATATACTATCATAACATAATAGTTTTAAAAAAATCTTAAAAATTTTTAGAAGTCATTGAGAGAAATGTGCCATTTATGTGCACTCTACATAAACTAACAATGTTAAACTAACAAACTTCGAACTTAAATATCTTGTTTCAGGAATTTGGAATTTTCAGGAATCTGAATTTTTGGTCGACAACAAAAAATTCAAAATGACGACCAAAAAAATTTAAAAGTTAACGAATTTGGCTGAATTTGCTTACTCCGGGGTTTTCGGGATCGATTAATCCTAATCTTTGGTCGAACCTAAAAAATTCAGAATAACATCATC